ATTTGTTGTTGTATTTGAATGAGTGTGTATTTGAGTGTGTGTGCTTAGTCGAATGATTTCTTAAATTATTTAAGTCCAGTACTTATTTAGTCCAGTTAACTAATGTTTCTGCAAAATTTTACGACTGAAGGTGAGTAGCACTAAAACTATTTTGTTTAGTTTCTTGTTTATAAAATTGTAATCATTGAAAATATTGATTGGAGATTCATTTTTAAAAATTGCTATTTTTATCCTTCCCCAGAGAAATTGTACATATGGTAACTAATAAGGTATTCATAGAGACTTTGGGTATTATGGTGACTGTAGTAAGAATGGAAACTAAGAATGTGTTTTTTTCTTTTTTTACGAATTGGTCAAACCCAAATTCAAATAAAAACATTGTTTACAATCGTTATGAGTCTATCGATTGGTGAATAGAATTTTATTATAAACAATTGTCTTGTAAATGGAATTTTAAAGCATTCTGAATGTAAATAAAAAAAAGTGTGCAAGACAATAAGAAATACTACCTGCCGAAAAAAAGTGGATGTTTGTTTTATCGGCTGAAAAATGTAAGAAATCCGATCCCATATATAAACGAACACACACACACACATAAACTACCTGGGTCTTTTAACCTAAGTCACTCCACGGAATCGCTAAAACATAGAGCATATTCTGATGAAAAAGACGCCAAAGTTTATGAAAACAAAATTTTATTGTCAAAATGCTTATGTTTTTATGAAGAGGATAGACTAAATTTTTTTTTAATTATATTTTAAAAATTTTTCCATCTTTTTAGAATATTCTAAATTATGATTTAAAAAACCTTGTTTCTCTTTGTCGCAACAAGGGGTAGTAAATAACATAGATAATTTTTAGCGCATTTTTTGTATTTACACACATTAATTTGGAAAATCTTGCAAAAATAAAAATAATTGTCAGAGGTTAATGAAACTTTCAGAAACTATTCACAGATGATCGAAATTATTATAAATATTTTTTTTTAATTAAAGTCATGGCAGAAATATTTTTTTTATATTTATTATCACCCCCGTAACTAATTTTATGAAAAACTCTAGAAATTCGAGACCATCGGTTTTAGTGATTACAATAGTTAAAAGCACAAGGTTTTGAAGAATGCAAATCATATTTTATTTTTGTTTTTTTGTTTTTTGGCCAACGTACCTGAAAATCAGCTGTGAATTGTAACATACAAAACTCAATAAAACAAATATATTATTTAATTTCAAATGCTTTTATTTGTTTTAATTTGTTTTTATGAATATGGACAATATTTTCTGAAAGCAAAAAATTTTTTCAATGAAAATTGAATTTTTAATACAATTATTTCTTATTTTTTAATTTTAAAAAGATTTTTAAAAATGTTTAAATTGAATTTTAAAAAATATTTTAACATTAGTTAAAAAGCAAAATCAACCTTACAAAATGTCGTGTGTGAGATTGCCATTGTCTAGCGCTTTGAAAATTGTATAATTTGGACCAATCAGATTAGCCATGGTAATTAAGAAATGTAATTTTTTGTGTTTATAGTCGGACAGTAATTATCAAGTACGGAAGACCAACCAGAATACAATTTAGTTGCATTATTTGAGTTCAGCATTGTTCTCCGCTGTTAAGCCCTTTACTTTTGCGAAACACGTATGGAGAAGTTAATTTGAGTTTTCAATTTCAACTGAGAAGGGTACCTATAAGTAACAGTATCATCTTATGAAATTTAACTACTGCTAAACTTTAATTTATATGATCTTATTTTTATATTAATCTCAGTTATGACATTTTTCCATAAATGAAATATCAAAATTAATAATAAAATGAATGGAAATACAAATAACACAGTAAAATGTAATAAATGTACATAAAATTATAGTATTTTATGTACACTTCTGATATAATTTCATAAGAAAGGTACCTAAATTAAATTACCTTTTTCTTATGAAATTTAATCTCACTATTAACAGTCTTATTTTTTAATTTCTTTATATTTTCCATAAAGCATCGTAAACGTAAAAATGAAAGCTAAGTACAAAAAATAAAATAAAATAAAAAATTAAAAATTAGAGCGCTGAAAGTTTTCCCTAAAAGTAACAAGATAAATAATTTGTTCACTTAAATAATTTCACTTCCTTCCATCCGTAGAAAGAATTCTCCTCCCGTAAGTTATCTAAACGCCATGAATGTGCCTTTCGTCAATCGTCAAGCGACGCGAAAGGTTATGACCTGCTTTGTTTTATTTTCAAATTACATTTTTTCGGCGCAGAAGCTAAGTTAAGCTTGGTTCAAAATATTTTAAATAAACAGTATATTATATTTTTATTAAAATCAGTTTTGAAAAAATGATAATTGACTTTTAAAAGAATATCAAAGTAAGATTTTAATCTTTTTTATCAAATCGAAAAAAATGATTGAAAATGATTATCTGCCCTTTTTTTGACCAAAAAAAACAATATTTTTAACGAAAATTTCAGACGTGCTAGGAACGAGTAAAAATGTAAAAAAATACCCCCAAAATACTTTGATCTTTCCTCTTTAATAATAATATGAACATTAGACGATAAAATTTTGTTTTCGTCAAGTTCGGCTTTTTTTTTCATCATGCTATGCTCTTTTGTTTACATTTTCGTGGGTGAGTTGTCCCCCTTTCATTCTCACGATGTGTCTTAATCGTGTTTTCAAATTGATTTTATTAAAAAACAACTGTATTTTTCCCATTTTCGGCCCCGTTAGAACCACCACAAGGTAATTTTATGTAGTCCTGTGAAGTTTTGTTGAAATCGGCTAAAAAATGTATGAAATTCGATCCAACATATAAACGTTACAGACACACACACACACACAAACACAACCTGCGTTTTATAATAAGTAAGATTTTTTAATGTATTGTGATACATAATTTTATATTTTATTAAATATTTTTATATGTATTATGATACATAATTTTATTTTTTTATTTTATTAAATATTTTTATATGTATTATGATACATAATTTTATATTTTTTATTTTATTAAGTATTTTTATACGTATTATGATACATAATTTTATATTTTTGATTTTATTAAGTATTTTTATATGTATTATGATACATAATTTTATATTTTTGATTTTTTATTAAATATTGTTATATGTATTATGATACATAATTTTATATTTTTTGATTTTATTAAATATTTTTATATGTATTATGATAGATAATTTTATATTTTATTAAATATTTTTATATGTATTATGATACATAATTTTATATTTTTTTATTTTATTAAATATTTTTAATGTATTATGATACATAATTTTATATTTTTTGATTTTATTAAAATATTTTATATGTATTATGATACATAATTTTTATTTTATTAAATATTTTATATGTATTATGATACATAATTTTATATTTTTTTATTTTATTAAATATTTTTTAATGTATTATGATACATAATTTTATATTTTTTTATTTTATTAAATATTTTTAATGTATTATGATACATAATTTTATATTTTTATTTTATTGAATATTTTTATATGTATTATGATACATAATTTTATATATTTTCTATCTCATTAAATATTTTTATATGTATTATGAAACATTATTTTATATTTTTTTATATTATTAAATACTTTTATATGTATTATGATACATAATTGTATATATTTTTATTGTATTATAGATTCTTATATATATTATGACACATGATGTTATATATTTGTTGTTCTTGTATGTGTTATATGTAATGGGAGAAGGCAGGCTTTCCTACCGCCCGGTCAATACTCTTCCCACTTCTCTTGGACAAGTCTAGAAGCTCACGCCTTGTTTCTTGTTTACGAAGGGTTTTCCCGGAACTAACTAACTAACTCTCTCTCTCTCTCTCTCTCTCTCTCTCTCTCTGGCCTCTGTTCTAGTGCTGCCGTGTATCTCCCGTGATGTGTGCAGTCTGTGGCATTACCTCTTCATTCTGAGGGTACACAGTTGACAGTTTCCTGGTTGCTGTTTCTGACTGGTAGTTAGGAGCCCTAACTCTTGCGTAGCGTCTTGAGCGGCCGCTCTGATCAACAGTTGTATAATACCGGGGTGTTTGTAGTGCCATGTCGCGCATGGAAAGGTGTCCTTGCAGTCAACTCCAGTGGGCAACCCTGAGGCCACATTATGATGCAGGCTGTGCCAACTCCTCTCTTCCCACGTCACGGTCGATAACCGTCTGCTTCTTTTACTTCGGGCCTTCTCATCTTCCATAGATACATAATTTTATATATTTTTTATTTTAATATATATATTGAATATATGTTATAATACATAATTTTATATATTTGTGTAAAAAATGAGAAAAATAATAAAATAAAACGAAAAATTGGGAATGTCCATAAATTCTGACATTAAGGGGTTTTAGTAGGTTCGCCTGAGAGTATGTGGTATTTTGGTATTTTGGTAAATGTAGGGTTTGGTGAAGAGGGGCGTGTTCTTGTAGAGAATGTGTAAATTGCAACGAATTAATGGTTCGTGAATCAGATTGGATCGGTTTACGATAGTCTCACCCCTCTTCCCCTTATGTCTTGTACCAAAATTGTACGTAACAATACAGGGTAGTCCGAGTCCGAATGCCTCGTCACCCCACTGTCTTTCAAATTGTGCTTATAAATAGTGCTTATATATAACAGATAAGAAATACAAATAAAATATGGATGAACAAGATCGCTTACGTGCTGAAATGACATAGCATTCAAAAATATCTAAACCCAGAGGTGATAATTTTACGATGAGAAGCACTGAAAATCAAGAAAAACGATATTATCAGTGGTTAGGAATAGATCTCAGATTTGTTCAAAGAATACGTCCATTATATGCGTAATGAATATGCAGTGGCTAGATGTAGAAATGCATTGAAAATCACAAAACCGGTTGTTGCCAGAAATTAATAAAAGCAATATTGCTTGAATAGGCCTTTATATGTATAATGCAAATTCGTTGTTACAACTTTGATCACTGTGCACTATGAATATGTTTTTATGCTCGAGTGCGTGCGTGCGCGCGAACGGGCAAAGCGACTCCAGGGGGAAATGGTGCGTTTTCAATTCAGCTATAAGTCAGTGATTTCTTTCCACGCAGAATTTAAACTTCTGCGCTGGGATTTTCGTCCAGCATTCTGGCCCATTGCTGACCACCTGATAAAGACTGAATTGCACGGGCGACCTTAATAAACGGGCGCCAACACATTTAAACGCTAACTAACCGGATCGCGTTTCTGATCCGCGGAAGGCTTCGCTTTTCCCAAGCGGCTTGCTTATTATCTAACATAAGTCATTGAGTCGTTTAAGCAAATGTTTACTGTTATGGGAGCACATTGTGGATATAAATGCGGATCTTTCGTCCATGACCGGTTTTGAAAAGGAAAGTTTGAATATTGCAAGTCGTACTGTAAAAAAACTCATTTCTGTTCAGACGTAATTTTTTTTTTAGTTTGATTCTATCGATTTCTTTTCCTCTTTATTTATTTCAGTCTTCTTTCTTTCTTTCTTCTTTCATTCTTTCTTTCTTTCTTTCATTCTTTTTTCTTTCTTTCAGTCATTCTTTTTTCTTTATTTCTTTCTTTCTTTCTTTCATCCTTTCATTCATTCTTTTTTCTTTCTTTCAGTCATTCTTTTTTCTTTCTTTCTTTCTTTCTTTCTTTCTTTCATTCTTTTTTCTTTCTTTCAGTCATTCTTTTTTCTTTCTTTCTTTCTTTCTTTCATTCATTCTTTCATTCTTTCTTTCATTCTTTTTTCTTTCTTTCAGTCATTCTTTTTTCTTTCTTTCTTTCTTTCTTTCATTCTTTCATTCTTTTTTCTTTCTTTCAGTCATTCTTTTTTCTTTCTTTCTTTCTTTCATTCATTCTTTCATTCTTTCTTTCATTCTTTTTTCTTTCTTTCAGTCATTCTTTTTTCTTTCTTTCTTTCTTTCTTTCATTCTTTCATTCTTTTTTCTTTCTTTCAGTCATTCTTTTTTCTTTCTCTCATTCTTTCTTTCTTTCTTTCATTCTTTTTTCTTTCTTTCAGTCATTCTTTTTTCTTTCTTTCTTTCTTTCTTTCATTCATTCTTTCATTCTTTCTTTCATTCTTTTTTCTTTCTTTCAGTCATTCTTTTTTTTTCTCTCATTCTTTTCTTTCTTTTCTTTCATTTTTTTTTCTTTTTTTCAGTCATTCTTTTTCTTTTCTTTCTTTCTTTCTTTCATTCATTCTTTCATTCTTTCTTTCATTCTTTTTTCTTTCTTTCAGTCATTCTTTTTTCTTTCTTTCTTTCTTTCTTTCATTCTTTCATTCTTTTTTCTTTCTTTCAGTCATTCTTTTTTCTTTCTTTCTTTCTTTCTTTCATTCTTTCTTTCTTTCATTCTTTTTTCTTTCTTTCAGTCATTCTTTTTTCTTTCATTCTTTCATTCTTTCATTCTTTTTTCTTTCTTTCAGTCATTCTTTTTTCTTTCTTTCTTTCTTTCTTTCTTTCTTTCATTCTTTCTTTCATTCTTTTTTCTTTCTTTCTTTCTTTTATTCTTTCATTCTTTTTTCTTTCTTTCATTCATTCTTTTTATTTCTTTCTCTCTTTCATTCTTTTTTCTTTCTTTCAGTCATTCTTTTTTCTTTCTTTCTTTCTTTCTTTCTTTCATTCTTTCAGTCATTCTTTTTTCTTTCTTTCAGTCATTCTTTTTTCTTTCTTTCTTTCTTTCTTTCTTTCATTCATTCTTTCATTCTTTCTTTCATTCTTTTTTCTTTCTTTCAGTCATTCTTTTTTCTTTCTCTCATTCTTTCTTTCTTTCTTTCATTATTTTTCTTTCTTTCAGTCATTCTTTTTTCTTTCTTTCAGTCATTCTTTTTTCTTTCTTTCTTTCTTTCTTTCTTTCATTCTTTCTTTCATTCTTTTTTCTTTCTTTCTTTCTTTCTTTCATTCTTTCATTCTTTCTTTCAGTCATTCGTTTTTCTTTCTTTCTTTCTTTCATTCTTTTTTCTTTCTTTCAGTCATTCTTTTTTCTTTCTTTCTTTCTTTCTATTTTTCTTTCTTTCTTTCTTTCTTTCATTCTTTCTTTCATTCTTTTTTCTTTCTTTTATTCTTTCATTCTTTTTTCTTTCTTTCAGTCATTCATTTTCTTTCTTTCTTTCTTTCTTTCATTCTTTCTTTCATTCTTCTTTCTTTCTTTCAGTCATTCTTTTTTCTTTCTTTCTTTCTTTCTTTCTTTCTTTTATTCTTTCATTCTTTTTTCTTTCTTTCAGTCATTCTTTTTATTTCTTTCTCTCTTTCATTCTTTTTTCTTTCTTTCAGTGATTCTTTTTTCTTTCTTTCTTTCTTTCTTTCATTCTTTCATTCTTTCTTTCATTCTTTTTTCTTTCTTTCAGTCATTCTTTTTTCTTTCTTTCTTACTTTCATTCTTTCATTCTTTTTCTTTCTTTCAGTCATTCTTTTTTATTTATTTCTTTCTTTTATTCTTTCATTCTTTTTTATTTCTTTCACTCTTTCATTCTTTCATTCTTTTTTCTTTCTTTCAATCATTCTATTTTCTTTCAGACTTTCTTTCGGTATTTTTTTCGGTATTTCTTTCTTCTTTTGATATTTCTTTCTTTCTTTTTCCTTTTATTCTCATTTTTCTTTCATTCAGTTTTTCGGTCTTTCTTTTACTTTTTCTTTCTTTAATTTTCCAGTGTTTTTTTCTTTTTTTTCAATCTTGTTTTATTTATTTCAGTCATTGATTTTTTTAGTTATTTTTTTTCATTAAGTATTTCTTAATTTATTTCAGTCTTGCTTTATTTTAGATTGATTGTCTTAATTTCATTTATTCCTTCATTCTTTTTATAGTATTTTCTTTCATTCATTCAATTTTGTCTAAATTTTCAACCTTTTTTCTCTTTATTTTTATTCTTTTTATTTTTTGTTAATTATTTTTCGTCCTTTCTTTATTTCAGTATTTTTTTCAGTCTTTTTTCTATTTCAGTTTTCAGGCTGTTTCCTTTCATTCTTTCAGTCTTTTTTATTTCAGTTTTCAGGCTTTTGTCTTTCAGTCTTTCCCTCTTTTTTATTTCAGTTTTCAGGCTTTTGTCTTTCATTCATTCAGCATTTTGTATTTCAGTTTTCAGTCTTTTTCTTTAAATCTTTCACTCTTTTTTATTTCAGTTTTCAGGCTTTTTTCCTTCAGTCTTTCAGTCCTAATTTTTTCAGTTTTCAGTCATTTTTCCTTCAAGCTTTCAGTATTTTTTATATCAGTTTTCAGGTTTTTTTTTATTTCAGTCTTTCACTCTTTTTTTTATTTCAGTTTTCAGACTTTTTCTTTCAGTCTTTCAGTCTTATTTTTTTCAGTTTTCAGGCTTTTTCTTTCAGTCTTTCAGTCTTTTTCATTTCAGTTTTCAGGATTTTTTCTTTCAGTCTTTCACTCTTTTTTATTTCAGTTCTCAGGCTTTTTCTTTCAGTCTTTCAGTGTTTTTTTTTCTTTCAGTATTTTTTTCTTTCAGCCTTTCTTTCAGTTTTTATTTTTATTTTTTTTATTTTTCTTTCATCCATTCTTTCTTGCAGATTTTTTCAGTTTTTCTTTCATTGTTTGCGACTCTCCATCTTTCTTTCTATTTATTTTTATTTTTCGTATTCTTCATGGAATTTCCATATCTTGAATTCTTTTTCTTTCTTTCTTTCAGGCTGTCAATGTTCATTTCTTTCTCTCCTTATTTCTCTCTTTCAATATTTTCTACTTTCCTTTCTTTCAGTTTGTCAATCTTTTTTTCTTTCTTTCTTTTAGCTTTTCTATCAGTCTTTCTTTCTTTCAGTCAGTCTTTCTTTCTGTCTTTCTTTCTTTTATTCTTTCTTTTTCTTTATATTTCTTAAATTCCTCTCTTTTTCTTTATTCCCATTTATTTAATTTCTTTATTTCTTCCTTCCTTTACCGTCTTTCTTTCATTTTTTTTCTTTTCCATATCTTTCTTTTTTCTTTTGAATACTTTCTTTTATTCTTTCTTTCTTTTCTTTCTTTCTTTCTTTTTATTTCTTGCCATATTTTTCTTTTTTCTTTTTTTTTTCCTTTGCAATTTTTCCTTGCTTCTTTCTTTTTTTCATTCTTTCTTCCTTTTTTGTATCTCTTTCTTCTTATTGTCCATTCTTTTTTTAATTTTTTCGTTTCTTTTATTCCCATTATTTATTTCTCCTTCTTTCTTCCCGTCTTCCTTACTTTCTTTCTCTCTTTCTCTTTTTCAATCTTTTCTTCTTTCTTTCTTTTAACCTTTCTTTCAGTCTTTCTTTCTTTCTTTTTGTTGTATTCCTTTTTTCTCGTTGTATTTCTTTCTTTTTCTTTTATTTCTCATTCTTTCATAAATTCTTTTATTCGCATTTATTTAATTTAATTCTTTTTCTTTCTTTCTTTCTTTTATTTTCTGTCTTTTCTTTCTTTCTTTTGCTTTTTTATTTTTCATTGTATTTTTTTTTAATTTTCTGTGTTCATTTAATTTTAGTTCATTCAGTTGAATTATATTTCATTCCTCTTTATTTTATCCGTCTTTTGATTTTAAATTCTTCATTCGACCATCGTTCCTCGCCTCACCTCACCTCACCTCGCCAACCATCGCGAATCCCAAAGTCCGCTGGGCCTGCGTGACGAGTCTAATACATCAGAACAGAGTCGGTTTCACTTAGTTTTCGAAGATTGTTAATTGAATTTTCACGGGCCGTCCGGCTGGTCGACCACTGTCAGCACCATTCTAGTTCGATGCCCTGTTCGATCGGTGCGGACGCAATTGAATACGTGTGTCATCTGCGGATCCCGTCGTCCCGCGAATGGGCACCCAAAACGATTGCGATAACGCTGCCGCACTACAAACGCTCCGGATTCGTTAGTCGACGGCGGTAAGCTGCGCTATACGCTAGGTCGGTCGGCTGTTAGTGGCCAAGTCCGGCCACTAACTGACGCAACTCTTCGGCAACGTGACCGATTCCTGTAACAATTCCTTTATTCGGACATCTTTTTCTCTTTCTTTCTTCTGCAAATGAAATCATTCTCTCTAACTGTTATGGTCTAAGTTCCTTGTGCCAAGGTGATGGTCCAAGGTTTCTTGTACCACGGTGATGGTCCAAGGTTTCTTGTACCACGGTGATGGTCGAAGGTTAGAACCAATGAAAGGATAACACGAACACAGGTATGGAATACAAAGATATATTACAACAGAAATATAATACAAAGAAGTAGAAGTATTCGTAATGACTATCAGATTTGGTTAGAGTGAACTATGTTGTCTCGACAAGTATCACTATTCCAATGTCCTTACAATATGCTGTCAATTATCTCTACTCGTCTTACAATCTCCTCATACCTCTTGAGAGGCGCAGTATTTATAATGTCAGGAATAGTCCATTATTATTATGGGTAAGTTCCCATAACACTTACTGTCTGTCAAAAATTGTTAGCTGCTCGATATTTTTATTCTTCGTTACGTATTTGACCAAGCGTGGACACGTTTAAATTTATTTTTCATGCTATTACGAAGGTCGGCACACATACACACACACACACACACACACATACACACAAACATACACACACACACACTTGCTTTGATTGGTTCCCATCCTGTTTGTTAAAAAGTCATCAATATGACGTCATGAGCAATGTGCTACTAGTTTCCGACCGAATTTTTTTCATGTTGGGGGACAGATGATAGTCCGATGGATCCAAATCCGGAGACCAGAGAGAACGACCAACCAGTTCGAAGCGCAGATCACGCATAGAATCTATTGAAACCAAGAACTTACGTGCTGGAGAATATCCTGGTGAAACAAAATGCCTTTCAAGAGCGTTTGATCTTGATAGCCTTTTGTAACTCTCTCAGCAAGTTGGCGTAGTGCTTTCCATTGATGGCTTGGCCCTTTGTCTATAAACACAATGCCTTTTGCATCCAAAAAAACAGGCCATCACCTTCCCTGAAGATGAAAGGGTCTATGTCTTATTTGGAATAAGTAAGGTGAGATTCCACTGCATAGATTTTTTCTTCGTCTGTGACTCAGAGTTACGAACCCAAGAATCGTACTTCGTTAGGAAATGTTAAAAGAAATAATAATGATTTACTTATACAAATTCTACTATTTAACCCATAGCTGGAGGGGAGAAGAGGTGGATTCGTACATTTCTCAAGGGCATTTAGATATTTAAGTGAATCCAACGAACCCAACTAGAATTAGAACTCTGCTCTCCGAGTTCCATGACAGCATCCGCACATCCAAGCTTACTGCGGTGATCCATCTAGGTACTGACCAGTATCAACGTTGCTTAACTTCGGTTATTGTACAAGAATTGTTGAGCTGTGAAATCTTACATGAGTTAATTTCAACACTTCTTATTAATAACTGCATCGTTTTTTTTTTTTCAGTAACGAGTGAGGGATGAAAATTTCGTCGGCTGACTATGAAGGAGTGATGCTAGAGCTGTGAAATCTTGCGGGCATTAAGTTCAGCTCTCAATAACTGCATTGTTTCTTTCCCAGGCACGAGGATAGGCTGAAAATTTAATAGGCTGACTATGAAGGGGTGATGCTAGAGCTGTGAAATCTTGCATGCATTCATTTCAATTACTCTTATTAATAACTGCATTATTTCTTTCCAGGTACGAGGGTGGGCTGAAAAGTTCATAGGCTGACTATTAAGGAGTGATGCTAGAGCCGTGAAACCTTGCTTGCATTAAATTCAACTCTTCTTATTAATAACTGCATTGTTTCTTTCTAGGTATGATGTTGGGTTGAAAAGTTCATAGGCTGACTATGAAGGAGTGATGTTAGAGCTGTGAAATCTTGCAGGCATTAATTTCAACTCTTCTTAATAACTGCATTGTTTCATTCCAGGTACGTGGGTGGGCTGAAAAGTTCATAGGCTGACTATGAAGGAGTGATTCCGGAGTTATGAAAGATACGTATCCAAATGAATACTGATACTGAATTATCCAAAGAAAAAAAAAAAACACAGAGAAGTAGAGGGGGGGGCAGATCATAGATATTTAAAAATCTGTTGAATATTAGAAATCACATTGATTTCCAGTGTGCATTGAAGTTGAAACATCTCTCATTTTAAGTTTACGGTGTGTTTATCCGATCCCGTAGGCCCGAGCAAAAATTCCCCGTATACCCCACAATAACAAAGTCGGGTCTGTCTACCTCCTCAGACGAGATTCTGCCCTTCGGCATAGCCTCGTCTGGGTTCCTCTCTGCCCGAAGGTAGTGATTTCGACAAGCAGTAAGAGCTTAGCGCGCAGCTAAGACCTAAGGCTGACTCTGTTCAACTACGCTTAACTTCGCTTATTTACATAAAGGGATGATTCCATTCATTTATGTCCTATATGACAACCTTCAAGACCAAACAGCTCTCATGATGAGTCACTGCTTCGGTTGTCAACCATTAAATGTTCGCAATTCATATTTAAAACTTTGCAAATACATCCAATTGCATATGAAGATTTTACCATCTCGACAATTAATGTTAGAGGACCCGTGGAAAAAGAAAAACAGGAATTATTGGCTCGGGAGTTATAACCTTCATGTATATTGTCTCCAAGAAATCAAAATCAGAAAACGATTTGACATTAATATCGAAGTGAGACAGTCCAAAGTAGTAGCTTTGGTAACAGAGAGTAAATATTATAGAAATGTTTTTCTCATTAATACCAAATGGAAGAATAATATTCACAGACTTTGGAAAGTCTCAGACAGAATTACAGTTTTGCAGCACAAGACAAATTGGAAGGAATTTGAATGCATTTAGCTGGAAGGCATGAAACTAAATTATACCGTTGGATACCCCAATTTCAATTAATTTGTCTTGATAAGTTTTTTGTTCCCTCCACCTCTAAGTTTTTTGCTCTCTCTCTGCTGAAATTTAATATTAAGTGAAATGAATAAATCGAACAACCATCTTATCGATATTGAGCAACGACATGAAATGAACTATCAAGATAATTCTAACATTCAACGTAAAACTTTAAAGAAATTCAAAGATTTGTAGCATTTCCACTATTTGGCAAAGGACAGGGAGGTCTAAAGAGGTCTATTAAGGGTTATTTAGAAAGTTGCTGATGATGAGACATCGCACTGATTTGTATTGAGCCTTGATTTTACCATCTCGGCAATTAATGTTAGAGGACCCGTGGAAAAAGAAAAACAGGAATTATTGGCTCGGGAGTTATAACCTTCATGTATATTGTCTCCAAGAAATCAAAATCAAAAAAGAAGTTGACATTAATATCGAAGTGAGACAGTCCAAAGTAGTAGCTTTGTTCACAGAGAGGAAATATAGAAATGGTTTTCTTACTAATAGCAAATGGAAGAATAACATCTACAGACTTTTGAAAGTCTCAGACAGAATAACAGTTTTGAAGCACAAGACATATTGGAAGGAATTTGAATGCATTTAGACGAAAGGCATGAATCTAAAATTGCATACGAGTCACATTCCTGCCATTTACACCCTCGTCGAACTATCCACATTCCATTTGTATTCCATTTCGTAAAATATATTTATTGGATGCTGTAGAATAACAATAATAAACAACACTTACCGGCGTAAAGGTCCCAGCTAGCGTCCAGCTGGCAGACAAAAATAAAGCAGGTTGTAACTTAATACAAACCCTGCAAACTAACTGATGAATCAAGCTGGTATTTATATAGAAATACCTCCACACAGGTACCAGCAGCCAATCACAGCCCAAGCAATGGACTATCCCACTTTAGCACAATGAGATGCTCCATGGCACCATAAATAGCTCTCTTTCTAAAGGTTGGATTATTATTCACTTAGCTTGCTCCACAACTGAGTGTTTATCTCTACCACGTGATTTTTCTACAGATGCTTTATTACACATCATCGGTGATGTTTCTAGCCGTGGTTCATTAGGGGTTTCGGATCTTTTATCATCATACCCTACTCTCCGCGGTCAGCCAGCTGATATTGATCGGGTATCGACTTGTGTACCTTCCGTTAGCTACATTGTTTTATAATCCTCTCGACCACACACTTCTACTCCTCTTGTGCAATTCATGGTTTTGTAATCACTACCAAAGGGTAGAATAGCATCTATAGATATTGGAAAGTCTCAGACAATATATCAGTTTTGCAGACAAGATGTAGAAAATGCTGGTAAGGGATATTTCCTGACATCACATTGACTTGCAGCATGCTACCAAGCCGAAACAGTCATCAGAATGATGAGGATATCCTTTTGATCGTTCTATAACATTGATGTATGTTGTCTCCAAGAAACCATAATCAAGGAATAACTTGAGATGAATATTGAAGATAGACAGCAGATGTTAATAGCTTTGAAAACAGTAACTATTATGGGAATGTTTTTTTTCGTCATTATGAAATGAAAGAATAACATCCATAGATATTGGAACAAAAAAAAAAGACGGAGAATTGGAGGGGACTGATCAGAGATATTTACAAAGTTTCTGAATATTAGAAATCACACTGATTTCCAGTGTGCATTCAAGTCGAAACGTCTCTCATGATGGCTGACTGCTCTGGTTGTCAACCGTTCCCAAATTCATATTTAAAACTTTGGAAATGTATCCATTTCGTAAAATACATCTATTGGATGCTTTAGTACACATTATCAGTGATGTTTCTAGTCGAGGTTCATTAGGGGATTCGGGTCTGACTCAGCAGATACTGATCGGGTAAAGACTTGTGTACCTTCTGTCAACCGTTTCCATCTTCATATTTTAAAATTTGGAAATGCCTCCATTTGCATCTAAAGATTTTACCATCTCGACAATTAATGTTAAAGAACTTGTGAAAAAAAGAACAAAACAGGAATTATTGGCTCGTGACGTTGTATCAAAGAAATTGAGATGATTATCTGAGATAGAC